CGTCTCAAGTTATATATATATATATATATATATATATATATATATATAATCAGACAAAAACGTTGAATTTTAACTGGAGAAAATTCAATCACAGATTCCAAAGAGAGCTCGTCAGCTCGTTGATAATATGGATAGGACAGACCTCGGAGATGACAGACTCATGGGCAAAGATGGCCGTTCCACCACACTTGCTCTCAGATCTGCAAATACTACAAACCAGTGAAAATTCATTTATACAAGGTGCACTAAATTTGATCATTTTCTGACCAATGTTCATCAATACAAAGAAATTTTGTATATTGTTCTTGACCGTAAGCTTCCAAAGGTCTATTTTACTTGGCAAGCTCGTATGGATATTTATTATCTCGTCATGTTATTTTTGTCTTTGCTGGAACACATGTTCGTTGTCAGGTGGAATCATTTTTTTGCCTCAGTAGGCCGAGAGGCAACAAGTGTATAATCCCGACTTGAGTCAGCTGTTTCTGGGGAGACTCTCTACCATCAAGGGTAAGGTAACGGCTGAGACAATAATACCACGATTAAGTTGCGAGACACTGTATTCACTGAACCCCTATAGATATAAACGTATTGGAAATAGGGAATCTTAATTAAACTTAAAATATGTAGCCCTTCTGGCGCGCGCGACACGCTGACCCTCTTGCTCGCAATCCGTTCATCAGTAATCACCTGTGGTTTCTCATTGATTTTTGTAGCAAGATCCTTCTGTCCTTTAGCTTGACGCCCTTGCTGAATCAACTTGCCAACGTCCAATGGAATGGTTTCGTGTTTCAGTTCTTCAGTCTCACGATCAAGCTTTGCAGTATTCTTTGTGGTCACATGCTGTTTGTTACTACCAGATGTATTGTATTGAAAAATATAATTACATGTCCACACCACACACATAGTCTAAGCTGTAGACGAGAATATTGATTTGCCAGAATTAAACTTTGTCAATAAAGAGTGACATCTGTATGAGTTTAAGCTAGGGTTGCCTTTTGAAGAATTTGTTGCATTCGTTAACTTATATTTCTAGAATACTTACCTGGTGCATCAAAAGGCGGATGGTCTTTTATTCGAAATACATTCAATATATAATCCCTTGTACCGCAGAATATAATGTAGTGTTTTTCTGGGTTCTTTTAGGTGTGGATTAAAACTCGAGATTCCACAAAAATAAATGCACTTCTTTACTTTACTTGACCAGATAGAACACTTATGTACACCACTATTTATGTCTAACTAATTCTTATGCCGCGCCATTGATTGCACTCCACTCCGCTCTACTCTAATGTACCCCGCACCGTGCTTCCATCTCCCGGCCGTCGAGTTATATATACTCCGAATCGCTGCTTCGAGAGAGGTATGGCGAGCGACAAAGCGGCATCTAGAATATTTGAGGTCACCTGGCGTAGATCTAGAAGGCGAGTCACTGGTACGAGAAGGAGAGTCTCCTAATAGATGGCGCCAACAGTACTATCTATTATCGTCACACTGCCCCCTCGGTAAAGTCATTCCATCCCGGAATGATCTTATTGGCGGTGGATCTCGATATCGGCACGACTGCCCTTTCTTGCAGTAGGAGTTCTTAAGAAGTAACAATCCACACTCCTTAGAGGAGGTAGCCGTCTAGGACTGTGACAACATACCAGAAATCGAATGGCCATTAGCATTGTGAGCCATAAAAAGATCAAATGTCATGTCCGATTCTGGTTGGATTTGCTGCATCGCCGCATCTTCGTTGTTCCATGATAAGGTGCCCTGTAGTCGACGGAGTTTTTGAGGATCTATGACTGTAGGTTCTGATGGAGAAGGACTGACTTTGTGGCAGATGGGTTGTGGAGTCTTTATATCTAGCATAGATTACAACTAATCCTAGTCATTTCTCAACTAATAGATATTGATTCAGCTTGTGGAAAACTCTGAATGTATAATTTAATTTTTGTAAAAAATGTTCTTGCCATTTAATTTTTGCCGAACTATAGGTAAGGGAGGCAGCTGCTCCTGGGTACGCCCTTGTATAGATAGAAAGCACTTTCTGGGATTTACTAACCTTCATTGAGGGACATGCAATATTGCAAATTACCGAGGAGATGTCTCCAAACATCCTAATGTAAATAAACAGGTCTATATTTTTTATTAGCGGTGTTTTGTGAGATGTAAATTTGAATATTGTTGGCTCGTCGGCAATTGTTTATGAAGTTACACGTCTCGTTGAAGGGTGTCTGATAATTCTAGGTCTTTAACGACCTCACGTCCATTTTTGAAACTGTTGGACTACTTGAACATCTGGCTCCAATAAAGCTAAACGTTTCCTTAGTCATTCTGTCGAAACGGAAGCAAAATGGGAGATTGCATTGCATGCAACTGGGTTGCTGCACGGCAATTATGAAACGCGCTCTGTATTGGTTTTTGTCAATAATAATGTAATGTATCTATTTGTATTCTGATCTACCTGTATATGTCATGGAAATGACACTTCGGTCCGGAACGTCAACCTGAACGTTTTGCCAAAGGACTGTTATTTAAAACTGTTACAATTACTGCTTAATAGACCACTTGACATTTGAAATAAAAGTGCGTACTACTTGTGATCTTTGTAAGCAGTATCCCGTACAATACCAAACATTACAGTGGCATGCATGGTACGATTCTAATAAAAATTACAGGTTACCACAGCTGAGGAAGATTGGAAATGCCGTTTGCACCCACCCGCTCTACCAACTGACGAAATAACCTGGATATGTTCAGAATGCGGAGATTGGATGTGTAAACCTAGCGTAGAATTGCCAAAGATCAACATGACCCTGCACGAAGCACTCCAGAATCCCGTTTTAGGAATACATATCTGAGCCGTTATGCGACGATCTGGTGGTATGTCTATCGAACCCGAGGTATCAAGTACTCAGTTGATACCTGCCTTGGGACGACCTCCATAGAATTTGCAAAATGTAACTTGCATGACCCGCAGAATGCTAAGAATTTAGTCACTGAGCTGAAATTTGTTGACATAGATTACTCTATGTTTAAAAATATCAAGACAGAACCACTGGATGAGCTTGCTGGTATTGAGAGAGGATACGAACAGTATTTAGATCAGAATTTTGTTTCTGATGAAGAATCGCCGTCAAATAGCGAAGATTCGATGTCACAGGACTCACGACCGTACAGTCTTGGAAGTGACGGTGCCGGAGACTTCTTTTTACCGTTACTGAATACACTACCGAAAAAATCCGATCCCACGACCTTCAAAACCCTGAGAGAATTTAGACCGGCATTAAAAAGGCACAAGGATAAGGATTCGAACGAAGGCACGCCTGAAAAACAGTTCAAGCCTTCTTCTAGCGAACCTCAGCCTTCGACTTCGACAGCCACAGATGAGTCAAAAAACGTAAAACTTGCCACATTGCGCCAACTTCGTGGGCAAGTGGCAAAGGAAATGAAAGTAATGAAAATAACGCTAAAGGATATATTAAAAAAATTACATCAGAAAACAGAAAAAGAATCCATGGAGCAACAACCTCTCAAGGAGATAGTATCTGTAAAACCAACAGAACAGACATTGAACAAAGAAACACAAAACAGGCTCTCGTTCAGTTCATCCAGAAAAAATCTGGATATCAGCAGCTCTCAGAAGAAAGTTCTCATAAGCATACCCAAGGAAAGAATAAAAATGTCTCAGGTCATTGCTCAATACCCGCCACGAAGTCAACCAAGAACCATTACGCGGAAGCATACGCCTCTGATACTAAAATCATCAAAGTCAACTCATCAAATCAAGGTAGTACCTCCAAGCTCCCAGAAAGAAACCAGTACTGCGCTCTCATTGGAACAGAAGTTACTGCTGCGCAATCGGCAAACGCAACCAGTGCTGGAAAACCCAATCAACGAGGTGGCACCAGTGAATTCGCAAGTAGGAGCTATCCCTCCGCTGCTTCAATCCGCACCACGTCCAAGCACACTGTCTCCCAAGATTCAAGACTCACATCCAATAAGTTCAGTGGAAACTCAGTCTCAAACGCCAGCTATCGGCCAGCAGTTGGTACGCAACACGATACCACAAAGTTTGATAAGCCCACAACCAATCAGCAAGACTCTGCAAGTTCACGACACTCAACCCAACACCTCAAAAGGACCGAGTACACCTCAGCCTGTAAGGAACGACAAAATTACGGATCCTCAGCCCAGCACCTCAAGGAAACCACTATTACTACGAGTGAAAACACCTGTGTGGCTCAGTACAGCGGATGTACCTCAACCTCGGGGAACCATCTCAGAATTAATAATCGCAAAAAGTCAAGCGGTTTTACCCCAGACCAGCAAAGCATCAACAGCAGTGACACCTTCCGAACAGCGAGCCAACATTCTGCAGCCCAAGGTTATTACCTTGGCTCAGCATCAGCCATGCCTATTTCCGGAAACCAGTTTACTATCAACATCCCCAGAACTCCAGGCAGAAGTACCTGCGGCCAGCCTAGTAAAAACTACGGCCAAGGAGGTCAGTCTGCCTCAGCCAAGGGAACATCAGGGATCCAGTTCCAAATCAGTTCTGAGAAGCAAAGCGGAAGTATCTCCAATTCCAGTCAACCGTGGTCACTCTTCCTATACCAGTGGTACCTCCGGGGAGTACTCCTCGAGTAAAGACGCTCTCTATCCTTCAGATAGTGCCGCCTCGAACAACAAACGCACGGGCAGTACCCCAGCCACCATCTGTCAGTCCGCATTCAACAACAAGACTTACTTCACCACCAGTAGTACAAAAAATGACTGTCAAACGTCAAATTTTGGATATGCCACAACAAATAGCTTATGTGACTCAGCAAGAAGTCAGTCATGTAGTGGCCAGGGATATGACACAACAGGAATTAACATCTGCCAAGCCTCAGGAAGTCAGTCTAACGTTGAAGGATATGGCTCAACATGACCTCCAGACTACGTCTCAGAATATTCGAGAACCCAGCCCTTCAAACAGTCAGACTCTAACAGAAGCTGGGACGAGGGGGATGGACCGACTTATTCAGGCAACTCGATATTTCGATGCTCGCCAAAAGGAGAAGCACAATATAACTGTTCAGAAGCAGCGAATCCAAGCAGGCAACCTCCAGGACACACAACTCATACTACAGGCCTCGCTAGAAATGAAGTGCACGCTACAGGAAGTCGGCCAGGGTCAACCATCTTCATCAACTCAGGCAGCATCGTTACAAAAAGACATCCCAATCGTGTCTCCCATGAAGACACATCAGATATTAACAGAAATCTATCCTTGGACGCTAGAAGGGAGCAGACTGAGCACACCATCCCCAGAATTTGCTCAGTTAGTGCAACAGATAACAACAGAGGTTCACAATCCTTCGACGTTGCAGGAGGACAGCCCGGTTCAACAAATAGAGACCAGTCCACCTCAGTTGCCACTAGAGGACTTGATGGATCAACTGTCTTCCTTACAAGAAACCGATCCAACATCACCAGATATCAATCCGCCTCGATCATTGCTAGAGGAACTATTTCAGATCGAAAACCTGGATCACTTAGTCAGTCATATAACTCAAAAAACCAACAGCATGCCGACTACACCTCCACAGGAGTCGCACAAACTTCCAGTAGAGATGAATCTTCGTCTCCAACAAGAAATCAGTCCTTCTCCTACCCTGTTAGGCAGTTCATTTCTGCATGCGATGGAAAAGGATCATCTGCCTCCACAACCCATCTGCCACAAAGTCAGTCCTTCTAAATCAGAACCTATAGTCATAGATCCTCAAAAACTCCGTCGACTACAGGGCACCTTATCATGGAAACAACGAAGATGCGGCGATGCAGCAAATCCAACCAGAATCGGACATGACATTTGATCTTTTTATGGCTCACAATGCTAATGGCCATTCGATTTCTGGTATGTTGTCACAGTCCTAGACGGCTACCTCCTGGAAGGAGTGTGGATTGTTACTTCTTAAGAACTCCTACTGCAAGAAAGGGCAGTCGAGCCGATATCGAGATCCACCGCCAATAAGACCATTCCGGGACGGAATGACTTTACCGAGGGGGCAGTGTGACGACAATAGATAGTACTGTTGGCGTCATCTATTAGGAGACTCTCCTTCTCGTACCAGTGACTCGCCTTCTAGATCTACGCCAGGTGACCTCAAATATTCTAGATGCCGCTTTGTCGCTCGCCAAACCTCTCTCGAAGCAGCGATTCGGAGTATATATAACTCGACGGCCGGGAGATGGAAGCACGGTGCGGGGTACATTAGAGTAGAGCGGAGTGGAGTGCAATCAATGGCGCGGCATAAGAATTAGTTAGACATAAATAGTGGTGTACATAAATGTTCTATCTGGTCAAGTAAAGTAAAGAAGTGCATTTATTTTTGTGGAATCTCGAGTTTTAATCCACACCCAAAAGAACCCAGAAAAATGCTACATTATATTCTGTGGTACAAGGGATTATATATTGAATGTATTTCGAATAAAAGACCATCCGCCTTTTGATGCACCAGGTAAGTATTCTAGAAATATAAGTTAACGAATGCAACAAATTCTTCAAAAGGCAACCCTAGCTTAAACTCATACAGATGTCACTCTTTATTGACAAAGTTTAATTCTGGCAAATCAATATTCTTGTCTACAGCTTAGACTATGTGTGTGGTGTGGACATGTAATTATATTTTTCAATACAATACATCTGGTAGTAACAAACAGCATGTGACCACAAAGAATACTGCAAAGCTTGATCGTGAGACTGAAGAACTGAAACACGAAACCATTCCATTGGACGTTGGCAAGTTGATTCAGCAAGGGCGTCAAGCTAAAGGACTCAGACAGAAGGATCTTGCTACAAAAATCAATGAGAAACCACAGGTGATTACTGATGAACGGATTGCGACCAAGAGGGTCAGCGTGTCGCGCGCGCCAGAAGGGCTACATATTTTAACTTTAATTAAGATTCCCTATTTCCAATACGTTTCTGTCTATAGGGGTTCAGTGAATACAGTGTCTCGCAACTTAATCGTGGTATTATTGTCTCAGCCGTTACCTTACCCTTGATGGTAGAGAGTCTCCCCAGAAACAGCTGACTCAAGTCGGGATTATACACTTGTTGCCTCTTGGCCTACTGAGGCAAAAAAATGATTCCACCTGACAACGAACATGTGTTCCACAAAGACAACAAAAACATGACGAGATAATAAATATCCATACGAGCTTGCCAAGTAAAATAGACCTTTGGAAGCTTACGGTCAAGAACAATATACAAAATTTCTTTGTATGGATGAACATTGGTCAGAAAATGATCAAATTTAGTGCACTTGTATAAATGAATTTTCACTGGTTTGTAGTATTTGCAGATCTGAGAGCAAGTGTGGTGGAACGGCCATCTTTGCCCATGAGTCTGTCACCTCCGAGGTCTGTCTTATCCATATTATCAACGAGCTGACGAGCTCTCTTTGGAACCTGTGATTGAATATTCTCCAGTTAAAATTCAACGTTTTTGTCTGATTAATATATATATATATATATATATATATAACTTGAGACGTGGTCATTGTCGTCTAGACCAGGTAGGTGAAAAATTAAAGCTTCCGCCTTTTGTTGGGTACTTCGACAAAATTTAAGCAAAGAGGACTCTTTAAACTTGTTTTAATTCTCTCTAGCTTTCAATGGACTTTGCCATCATCATCAGTAGCTGCAATTACAATGATAACAGTAGCAACAAAAGTGTAAAATGAATTTAAATTGACTCTACTTGCAGTAATACGTGAGGATGTTGCTAATTGTTGTTTACGTATAGGATGAGGGAAACGTCCAGTAACATTGTGAGAGCTGGATAGATGGTACAATGGTCAAAATTATACAAAATATGACAAGAACAAGTTAAAAACAGATTAAAATTATTTAAAAAACATTAGAGCATTACATCGTGAAGCCACTTGACTATTGCACAAAATGGTGGTCATGGAATAGTGAGCCAAGCAGCGGGACTTTGTCTTTCATTTTTGAAAAAATGCAGTTTATAGTGAGGACGGATTTGCAAGCAATTCGAAAGTTCAAAGGACTGCACAATCTGATCAGCTTAGGGGTCAGTTCCTTGATATGTTTACGCCCGTTCTTTGCTGTCAAAGTGGTGGAGTTAGTTCGTCCAGAGCTAGTCGATGGCATGGAGGAACTAGTGCTAGCAATGTTTGAGAGTTTTTCTTCCGTATTTCGATTGTAGATGCCCAATGCGTCTAGCTCGAACCTGTTCATCTGTTCCTTTCTTGCGATCTTCAGACGCCTTCTGTACCGTTCAAACTGATCCTTGAACGACAACAGTTTTTCCTTTAGGTCGCCTAGATATTTGCTCAAACCGTCGGCAATAGTAGGCAGTTCTAAATCAAGACCCAGTGATACTGCTAGGCATATGGCGTGCCTGAAGGACTTGAAGTCCATCAAAGTCTTGATCGTCTTCTTATAATCTTTATTATGGTATTCCAACACTATCTCAGCTTCCTCTACCCTTTTCTCTTTTACCAGGTCATCCGCAATCTTCCCCAACACATCTCGCTTGACAGATTCATCATACTTCAATACAGTCATCAGCCTTATGACCTCTCTCCAGTCTAAACCAAGTCTATATTCTTCTATCGCCTCTTTATGTAGTCCAGCATTCATGTAGACGACAGCTGCCTCTTGAAACTTGCGTTTTCTTGAAAGGCTTTGCGCATAGAGTCTGATAATATGAAAGTAGTTCCGATGGCACGGGTCAACGGTTTTGTATGCTTCCTTCTGCAGGTCGTTAAGAAATATGAAATTTTCAACTAGCCCTTCATCAAATCCGTCATATTATACATTTCATTATATAGATAACGAACCGCCTGTAGAATTCACGAGGTGTAGTTATTTCCATCGGAGCACGTATGTCATACAGCAAGATACTGTTCTCAGTAAGATGGAAGACTGTTGCATCCTCAGCAAATTCATCATAATTGAAGTGTGAAAAGTAACAAGAATAAAATTTGCTAGGAGTGCATTCTGGAACTTTCAATCTTCAATTCACAGAAGTATAATCTATGATCAGTTATTTTCCCATACCTATAGTGCCACTCTTGTGTACATCCAATGCATTTGATGCAAAAATTACATCAATCATAGTAGCTGAATTCTTGGTGATTCTTGTAGGTTCACCAGTAACTTGAACGAGACTGAATAATGCCATGGATTGTAAGATTTTCTTACTGGGATTCGAAAACTTATCGGTGAGGTCAATATAACTTCATCATGGGTAATGCATATGGAGGGATGGTTATTCTCAAGGCGAGGAAGTAAACTTAATGCAGGAGATGTCAAATAACACCTACCGCACTGATCTCATTATTTAGTTTTAGCGATAACCGCAGATCCAATGCCATCCGAAGAAATTTTGTTACAATCTATGACTTTAAATTTTATGTTGATATGGATATAAAAATATGCTCCACCTCCTCTTTCTTGTCTGTCAAAATCAGGTGTAAACCAAATCTCTGTTATTGCTGTAGTATGGAGGTTCTGCTCTAATGCCTAAAAACATATCAAAGCTTGGAATAAGTGAACTTATATTTACACGTGCTACGTCTAGTGAGCTATTTTCGCGACGCCTTCACTGTGAGCAATGGTTGGCCTTTTCATTGAATCTTCTGACTTGATTGCTATATTCATCAACATCCAAAAAATATATCATTTTCAAACTTCCGCCACTGAGCGTGGGCAGTGAGGTATCAGGGATCAATATACTTTCGACAGTAACTTTAAATCATTATATGCATGTCTGTCGTACTTTATGGCAGATAATTCCAAAAATCAAGCTAACTGATTTTTATATTTGGACAACCCTAGGTTTGAGGTAGATTTTTTATGAAACTGAACCGGTTTTCAGTTTGGTGAGATACGTCAATTCGAATGCGCTTAAAACAACATTGATAACAGGTCGATGTCACTATTAATTACATAAACAAATCCATTTTCTGTACACTCGGACATTTTGCTGCCATAATGGTTCCAGCACAAGCAGTTGATGTAATCGTCGTTCACGTCAAATATTGCCACTATCTTGTAGTCAAATGTTGCAGGTAGTTTGCTATGATCCAAAATGAGAAGTCTTTTCCCATTTAGTGTGCATGCATAGGTCATGCAGAATGAACTCTTAGTAGTATCGCTGGTATTACAGTGGATTCCAGATCAAGCATGTCAGCCTATGCTCTGCCATTAGTAAATCGATTTGGATTAGTTCTCTTGAATAAACAAGTATCAGTCTCAAGTTAAAAGCAATCAGAAGGGTCGAATAACCTAACTTCCAGTCGGATGTATACACGGAGAAAGTATCTGGCATGTTAGCTGGTGTAATCGCTAGGAAATATAATAATTTGTAATGAATTACTATGTAATAGTATTGCTTAAAGTATTTTATCCGAAGATAGCCCTAATGCTATATTCCCGCGTTAAAAAAAATATCCGTGAGAAATTTGTCACAGGTGTCTTTCTATTTACTATATATATATATATATATATATATAACTTGAGACGTGGTCATTGTCGTCTAGACCAGTTAGGAGAAAAATTAAAGCTTCCGCCTTTTGTTGGGTACTTCGACAAAATTTAAGCAAAGAGGACCCTTTATGCTTTTTAATTCTCTCTAGCTTTCAATGGACTTTGCCATCATCATCAGGAGCTGCAATTACAATGATAACAGAAGCAACAAAGGTGTAAAATGAATTTAAATTGACTCAACTTACAGTAGTATGTGAGGATGTTGCTAATTGTTGTTTACGTATAGGATGAGGGAAACGTCCAGTAACATGGTGAGAGCTGGATAGATGGTACAATGTCAAAATTATATAAAATATGACAAGAACAAGTTAAAAACAGATTAAAATTATTTAAAAAACATTAGAGCATTACATCGTGAAGCCACTTGATGATTGCACAAAATGGTAGTCATGGAATAGTGAGTGAGATGAAACCCTTTGACAGAAGGCCGAAGGTTGTCAATGTCTGTGTTGAAAGATGGAACGAATTGTGGGCGTGTGCCAAACGTTGCCAAATCATATCAGATGATGTGATTTTCAGAATGTTATGTGAGAAATTGTTAAACCGACCAGAGGCAGTTGAATAAACTATATTTTAATTAATGGGAATTTAAATTAACAATTATTAATAAATCGTGAGAAGATAATTATTATATTTTGAGTGGAATGAAATTTACTGGTGGAATCGGCCAAAACACAGATTCTGTTTATGGTTGTGAAGAGTCGAAATTTGGGGAGATATGTAAGTTCTCCAATTTTTCGCAGTTTAGCAAATATGAGTAAATGGACACTCAGTTGTTTAACATCTGTCTTTTTGTTGATACAGTTGTTATTCATGAAAATGTGGGACATTTCCAGTAATAAACGTTTGGAAAGGTGTTTTTCTTTATCAAGAACTTTGATACTTTTGTAATTCATAGAATGCCCTGTTGTGTTAACATGAGATGCTAGAGCGCATCTTTCAGGATGAAGCCTAGCATCACTTTTGTGTGATGTAATCCTTCCTTTAAGAGATCTGGAGGTCTAACCTATGTATATTTGGTTGCAGTTGTTACAATTGATGGAGTAGACTGTGTTGGTTAAGCCAAGCAGCGGGACTTTGTCTTTCATTTTTGAAAAAATGCAGTTTATAGTGAGGACGGATTTGCAAGCAATTCGAAAGTTCAAAGGACTGCACAATCTGATCAGCTTAGGGGTCAGTTCCTTGATATGTTTACGCCTGTTCTTTGCTGTCAAAGTGGTGGAGTTAGTTCGTCCAGTGCTAGTCGTGGCATGGAGGAACTAGTGCTAGCAATGTCTGAGAGTTCTTCTTCCGTATTTCGATAGTAGATGCCCAATGCGTCTAGCTCGAACCTGTTCATCTGTTCCTTTCTTGCGATCTTCCGACGCCTTCTGTACCGTTCAAACTGATCCTTGAACGACAACAGTTTTTCCTTTAGGTCGCCTAGATATTGCTCAAACCGTCGGCAATAGTAGGCAGTTCTAGATCAAGACCCAGTGATAGGCATATGGCGTGCCTGAAGGACTTGAAGTCCATCAAAGTCTTGATCGTCTTCTTATAATCTTTATTATGGTATTCCAACACTATCACAGCTTCCTCTACAGTTTTCTCTTTTACCAGGTCATCCGCAATCTTCCCCAACATATCTCGCTTGACAGATTCATCATACTTCAATACCGTCATAAGCCCTATGACCTCTCTCCAGTCTAAACCAAGTCTATATTCTTCTATCGCCTCTTATGTAGTCCAGCATTCATGTAGACGACAGCTGCCTCTTGAAACTTGCGTTTTCTTGAAAGGCTTTGCGTATAGAGTCTGATAATTTGAAGGTAGTTCCGATGGCACGGGTAAACGGTTTTGTATGCTTCCTTCTGCAGGTCGTTAAGAAATATGAAATTTTCAACAAGCCTTCATCAAATCCGTCATATATACATTTCATTATATAGATAACGAACGGCCTGTAGAATTCACGAGGTGTAGTTATTTCCATTGGAGCACGTATGTCATACAGCAAGATACTGTTCTCAGTAAGATGGAGGACTGTTGCATCTCAGCAAATTCATCATAATTGAAGTGTGAAAAGTCACAACAATAAAATTTGCTAGGAGTGCATTCTGGAATTTCGATCTTCAATTCACAGAAGTATAATCTATGACCAGTTATTTTCCCATACCTATAGTACCACTCTTGTGTACATCCAATGCATTTGATACAAAAATTACATCAGTCATAGTAGCTGAATTCTTGGTGATTCTTGTAGGTTCACCAGTAACTTGAACGAGATTGAATAATGCCATGGATTTTAAGATTTTTCTTACTGGGATTCGAAAACTCATCGGTGAGGTCAATATAAGCTTCATCATGGGTAATGCATATGGAAGGATGGTTATTCTCAAGGCGAGGAAGTAAACTTAATGCAGGAGATGTCAATAACACCTACCGCACTGATTTCATTATTTAGTTTTAGCGATAACCGCAGATCTAAGGCCATCCGAAGAAATTTTGTTACAATCTATGAATTTAAATTTTATGTTGGCATGGATATAAAAACATGCTCCACCTCCTCTTTCTTGTCTGTCAAAATCAGGTGTAAATCAAATCTCTGTTATTGCTGTAGTATGGAGGTTCTGCTCTAATGCCTAAAAACATATCAAAGCTTGGAATAAGTGATCTTATATTTACACGTGCTACGTCTAGTGTGCTATTTTTCGCGACGCCTTCACTGTGAGCAATGGTTGGCCTTTTCATTGAATCTTCTGACTTGATTGCTATATTCATCAACATCCAAAAAATATATCATTTTCAAAACTTCCGCCACTGAGCGTGGGCAGTGAGGTATCAGGGATCAATATACTTACGACAGTAACTTTAAATCATTATATGCATGTCGTACTTTATGGCAGATAATTCCAAACATCAAGCTAACTGATTTTCATATTTGGACAACCCTAAGTTTGAGGTAGATTTTTATGAAACTGAACCGGTTTTCAGTTTGGTGAGATACGTCAATTCGAATGCGCTTAAAACAACATTGAT